GCCGAACTCTAATTTCCTGATTTTGACTCCAAACAACACGAAACTTAGCTCGAACCAACGCCCGGTAAACATAACTTGAGCTAAAATTGAGACTTGTAACACCTTAAAGTTAGGAAAACCATCAAAAGCCGATCCCAACACGCATCAAATGCGTGTTGAAATACGAACTTATCATTAATTCAGCCTATTCATTCCCTTATTTAATCACTATTTTGTCTAAATTAAAAACTAGTCATATATTTGTCCATTAAAACTCTAGGAGTAATATCTCAGTCATTATTTCTTAATATAATCGTTGGTTTTAAGATAAAAAAATGTAAACTGCATGTACCAAATATATATGTTTGGTACATTTCTATTTAAGTGCAATAGTACAGTGCTTGTTGATATAAAAAACTTATATTACTAGGGTAAGTAATTATACAAAACAATACAAAATAATGCAAACAGTGTGAGAATAATATCTAAGTGTGACAAGTTTTTGTGTAAATAAAAGTTGCATGTTTGGTATAAATAATTTGATAAAAATGTAAACTACATATGAGAAATATGTAGCTGGGTTGTATTTTTATGTAACTTAAATTATGAAACTCGATGAGCTTTGTTGGATTTAAAATATAAATCACATGAACATAAAAATATGATGTAGATGTCGAAAAAAGACGTTCATGTTTGACAAATAAAAATATAATTTTTTTGTTGTAGATTAATAAAGCTTTTGTAGTTGTGAAGTACTCCGTACTAAAGAAAAAAAATCTAGATTGATTTGTAATTTAAGCTGAAGATGAAGAAAAGTAAAATTGCAGTTGCATTCTTGATATTTAGATACAGAAGAAGAAGGGAATTGAAGAAAAAAAAGAAAAACTAGAAAATTTGATGAAACAGATGATCATGCATGCAGATCAGCGAAGAAGAGAAAGAGGATAAAAAAATTATTTTTTTAACTAAAACAACGTCATTTTAGAACGAGATCAAGCAGCTTGTATGGAAGGTATAGTACCTGAGTGGATCTCACGGAAGTGTATACCGTACAACCGGCTGTATGACTGGCACAGTACAGCCGATGGCAATTTCGTAATTCTGGTGAAAACTGTGGCTTCTCTTAAATGAGCATCAATAAAATTTGGTGAGCATCGAGCCTGTTCTTTTGAGTATTAGAAGTCTAACAATGAGGATCATGATCTCTCCTTCATATATCTTTTAAATCGCTTTCTTTTTAGGTGACAACTCCGGTACCCTTTTAAAAATTAGGATACCGTACCTACCATGCATTATATTTGATTGGTCCAAATCATTCTATTCATTTTAATTTAGATTTAATTAATTCAATTGTATCATTCCTATTGGTCCATATGGACAAATGTATGGTACCTTAAGGGTACCATAGAATCTACCTTCTTTTTATTCTTTTTCTTTTATAAAAAATTCTTAAATTATGTCTATAATCAATTCTAATTAGTTTCAATATGTGAATCTAACGTAGTATTAGTTTGAAATATGCAACATTTTAAAATGAGCATAAAGCGGTACCAAATGAACATACATAACTTACAAAATGAGTATAAAAAAATTCAAAAGCTCATTTGTGTACGCTAATTCATTTTGGGTGTTAAACTCATTTGAGTTTAACATAAAATTCATTTCTAATGTGCTCATATTCATTTGTGTATGTTCATTCCTTTAGGCGTATACTCATTTGATTTTAATATAAAACTCATTTGAGATCAATAGCTGCAAGGATTGCTCAGCAATGAAGTAGACTCCTCTTGTCTCCGAAAATCATAAGCTCAAACATCAAAATTGCGTAAGAAAAAGAGAAAAAGGAAAAGAGTGAAAAGAAAGAGAGAGAGGGAGGAGATGTAACTACGCCGGCCGAGCCGCTGCGTTTGTGCTGGAGGTGCAGCGGGCGAGTGGTAAGCGATGGCGACGAGCAACGAGTGGGAGGAGAAGGGGGCGAGTGGTGAGCGTTGGCATATACTCATTTGGGTTTAATATAAAACTCATTTGAGATCAATAACAACAAGGATTGCTCAGTAACGAAGTAGACTCCTCTTGTCTCCGAAAAGCACAGGCTCAAACACCAAAACTGCGTAAGAAAAAGAGAAAAAGGAAAAGAATGAAGAGAGAGAGAGGGGGGGGGGTAACTACACCGGCGGAGCCGCTCATTCGTGCTAGAGAAGAAAGGGGCGAGTGGTGAGCGATGGCGACGACCAGCGAGTTGGAGGGGAAGGGGGCGAGTGGTGAGCGTTGGCGACGAGCAGTGAGCCTGATGCGAAGCCCGATCGAAGAAGATTGGTGTGAAGCTTGGTGCGAATTGAAGCGGATCGAAGAAGTTCGGTGCGAAGCAGATCAAGAGCATGCTAGCCGACCCTAATATCTTTTGGGACTAAGGCTTGAATGTTGTTGTTGTTGACGAAATAATGACTTCAATCAATCCAATGCAGAATATGTACAAATACATTATTTATGTATAGAGCTTTTTATTTATGTGCCGCACATGCCAAATGCTCTATGGTCCGCAACAAGATTATTCTTGCAATTTTCACCAATTAAAAAACTATTTTTTTTAGGGACCAATAAAAAAATTAGACTTGTGTCTTGTGGAAAAGTGTTAGTTAGAGGTGAATATTATCTCTTACATCCCCAAAAATATAATATTAAGATGTACGTAGTAAAAATTAGTTCCCAATTTGCCACACTACATAAGATGTGATCAAGAGTTTATAACCCTATAGTCAAAATTCAACATTTTCACTAATTTGACTGTCTCATGGGCACATGGGGAATAAACTAAAGGCAAATGAAACAAGCTATCTCATTGTTATTAGGAATGATTCTCATCATGCAATGCGCAACTCCATAAATAGTTTAAGCAAGATAAAATGATAAAGTTAGAGCCAATTTGATGCCCATTTTTTAGCTTCTAAATTTTGTTAGTCAACATTTTTAATCAAATCTGATTATAATATTTCATGCATGAGATATTGTAATAGTTCAAATAAATAAGATCGAAGTTACTAATTTCTCAAAATTTGCTGAATTTAGTTCCTCTATTATATACTTATTTATTTCATCAATAAAATATATTTTACATATACTTTTTTCTTAATTAAACATTTCAGTCTATTCAGTCATAATTTCATAAATTTCAATCAAATCAGCTAGTTTAGTAAGTTTGATTTCCCAAATAAGCTAGCTCTTACGCTTAATAATAATAATAATAATAATAATAATAATAATAATAATGATAATAATAATGATAATAATAATAATAATGTGCAAAAACATGCTTTTACAGTTTTACATGACTACCGTCCAACTGCAGACACATTCCGTGGAACGAAATTCACGCCCATTTTAAATCCAACCGTGTTGAATAACTACCGTGAAAAATAATTTGACTTTTGAATGAAGACTCATGACTACGCATTCCATTGTCAGTCCCATTATAGGCAAGGAATCATTGTAATGTGATAATGTCAGTGTTTTAGAAGGCATTACACAACTGGCTACTGTAACCAACATTATAAATTTTGACAATTTACCAGTTTTGGTTTTACGATTTTAATTTATAGCTGTATAAAACTCTCCCAAATTGAAGTACCACTTGTATTACACTATTACGCGATCAATACAACTCACATTGTATCATAATCAGCATCACATTACTAACATTTAATTATTAATATATTAATAATAGTATTAATTTGAATTAAGTTGGCACTATGGTATCCATTTAAAATGAGGGTACAATACCTATCATGCATTTGATTGGTCCAAGTTAGTGTTTCATCATTCATTTTTAAATTGTTTAATTGCAATATTCTAATTAATTCATTATATACGTGTACGAAGTTAACTAAATCATCAGTCGAACGCCCGAACCTCAGACGTAATAGTTTATAAAGGGATTTCGACACTATTCTCACTGTCAACTAAAATATCTATTACTCAATAATATATATATATACATATATACATATACACACACACACATATATATATATATGATTTTCTAAATTAAATTTTTTATCATTTTATTGTAGTTCAATAGAACTTGTATTGTAGTTTGTTAATATGTACTAGTAAATTTTAATGAGTTGCATTCATTTCAAAACGGGACCTAGGTGGATAATAAAATGAAAAGAGAATTCCCTAATTAAAAATAAAATCTAACACATCATCTCAAAACGAGATCATTTCACTACTATAAAAAAGATAACTTCTTTATTAGGAACCCGTTTGGTAGCACCAAAATCGGCTGATTTGACTGATTCTGCTGAAATTTATGAAGTTCTGACTGAAGTGGCTGCATTGGCTGATTCTGCTGATTAAAGAAAAAAATATTTTTAAAATATATTCTATTAATAAAATAAAGAAAAAAATATATGTAAAAATAGTTAAAATGGTCGTCTACAGTAACTTCAGCCAATACAGCCAAAAAAGTAACTTCAACCTTATTTTTTCTGCTTATTACACAATTCAGTGCGTGAAAGCAAACATTATGTGTTTGGTGAAAAAGTTGGTTGATAAGCCTGATAAGCTGAAAAACGGTGTTGCCAAACGGCATCTAGATGTAGTTAAGTCTTCTGGGGAATAAAATGTAATTTACGCATATTTCTCAACTTTGTGTGTCAATGTATGTCAATTTCTTTAAATCAATAGTGCGTGTATATAATACTCCGTATACATTATGTTAAAGGTAGATTCTACGGTACCCATAAGGTACCGTACCTTTGTCCACATGGACCAATCAGAATCATGCAGTTGAATTATTTAAATCTAAATTAAAAGGGATTTAATGATTTGGACCAATCAAATGCATGGTAGGTACGGTACCCCCATTTTTTAAATGGGTACCGGAGTTGTCACCTATGTTAAATTTAGGAACTATCATCAGAAAAGTCAAAACCCTTATTTTCAAGATCTACTTTAACAAAAAAAGAAACAGAAAACTGCTCAAAAAGAATATACTCCCTAGGGTATATATAAAGAGGGTCATTCAGGAAAACATTACAACAAACCCAAAGTTATTTACCAAAGATTTCTTAGACTAGAAGGAAAGATCTATCATAAGAGCTAGCAAGACTAAGTGAAGAAGAACAAAACACAAAAATGCCCATTTTCAGCTTTCTCTCATTCTTGACATGCTTCATTGGGTGTCAAGATCAAGCTGGGATCTCAGGCCAGGGAACCAGAATCTGGAATCTCAGTGACAGACCGATCGAGCTGCAAGTAAGGGTCGGGTCAATCTTGAAGAAAGCCCACACCTTGAAGCCCGGCTCGTCCAAGAGGCTCAAGTTCAGGAACATCTATAAGAGCTTCATGCCTGGAAAAGGGAAAGGGAGTAATAAGAATGGTAATAATGACATTAATGGAATGAAGACTCTTCTTTATTACTATGATGAGACTTGCCACCCTTACATCTGGGTACAAGATAGCTCTGTGGGCTACCATTTTTCAAAGGTGGTGAAACAACAGTATATAAGTCTTGAGGATCTTAGGGTTTGCTCAGAGATCAGAATCTTTAGGGATTATGAAAGAGGCTGCATTGCTGTCCGCAAGAAGCTTCGGAGCGACTACTTATGCTGAGAAGATTAGCATCGCCCCTGAGCAAGGATGACACACATAAAACGAGAAATGGTACAAATGATGAACTACTATTATATCCAGGAATGAAGTGGATTTCTTGATTTCTTCTTCCAAGATGTTACCTAGGTTTTAATTTTGAGATTGAGTTTTTTTAAAACAATCATAATTTAGAGTTTTGGTGATTAATTCTGTGTGTGTGATATTGGGAAAGCAGTAGGTATCAAGAAAATTTCTAATCTTTAATTACACTTTGTTAATTTTATTTTATTTCTAAGGACTAAGGGTGTAACTTTTTCTTTTTATGGAATTATTTGCATTTGATTGGCGATGTACTATCATGACTAAAGGGATTGAATTCTTTAGTGTAATGTTTCGTTCAAACTTCCGAAAGGTGAAATTGCAGTTTCACTTTTACTTTTGTTTTAGACTTTCTACAATCTTTTTCTTTTGCCTAGCCTAGTTGTTCCATTTTGTAATCTTGGGGTGGGTGCCTAATCAGACGGGTCCAGATTAGTAGAGAATGTAAATTTGTTGTTAGTTTGGACGTAATAAGGAGAGAAAGAAATGGTTTGTACACGTTTTGTGGGTACCCATTTTATACATACTCCATTTTGCGTGTTTATGCAACTCGTCTAAAAATGCAAAACTTTAGAGAATTGTTTGGGTACACAAACAAGGCATGCAAAACTTGTACGAAAAAATGTATACACCATGAACTGCGCATAAAGTGAAACATAGGAATTGAGTGTCCATTTTGTATATTAGACCAGGATTAACATGTACACTTTTGGCATGGTCACAAATATATAAAATTCGTTTATGTTTTGATCCATATGACTTGAAGGAAAAATACAATTAGGACTTTTACTTTCAATATTTGAACATAAATTGTACTCGTATATTATATTACTAAATCTTGTTGTATGATAATTCCCGATACAGGTATTACTTACCGATTTATCCGTGTATGTATTTGCATCCATGCATCATAAGTTCATAACTCTCACTATGCTGCAAAGTTGAGTTTCTTTTGCTCAAACTCAATATGTGCAACACACCTTAGTCCTTACAGTACCCCCATTATATCTCTAGAGCTCTTTTGTTGAGATATGTAATCCCGACTTTGTGCATGACACTAATCTTGGCCTCTCAAAAGTCTACTACAAAACCTGGAGAGAGTAAATATAAGTCACTTGAACAATGTGTTAGGTGCACAAGCCACCACTCAACTTATTAGGTGTCTATACTAATTATACATTGAGTCTTTTATTGCATTACTTTGTATAGGAGCGGAGGTTCGCCAAAAGGACACCAAATGTATATCTAGTGGTTAAGCGATCCAATAATGTATAGTCGTAATGGGTTACTGACTTAGTGACTTACTTCGTTCATATTTATATATCCTATGTGAGATAGTTCTATATACTCCCTCCGCCCCTTTTTAAATGTCCCGAAAGAGGGTGACACGAGTTTTATGAAAATTGTGTTTGTGTGCTTGATATTAATTGATAAAGTAAAAATAAAGTAAGAATAAAGTAGGAATGATTTTGAGCCACACAAACTTTACCAAATAAGGTATGAGACAATTAAATAGGGACATCCCAATATGGTAAAACGAGACATTTAAAAAGGGACAGAGGGAGTAGGTCACTAGCTAGCTTGCTTTGATGGTTGTTCAGTTCCGTAAAATTTAGGGTAGTTATTATTAGGTCAGTAGGTTAGGTAAATTACACAAAACCAATATGTAAGAACATTGCATATGGAATAATGGGTAGGGAAAGGGGCATGGGATTGATATGTGGGCTTTTCGATATATGAATTTGTGGATTGGGCTATTAACTTAAAAGAATTGGCAATGAACCCGTAGGGCTCATCATTTATGCGGTAGGGCTCATTATTTAGCCCGTGGGATCATGAACCCGTGGGGCCTGGCCATCCCATTTGCTAAAAAGCCCGATTCGGCCTATATGGGTTGATCACCGGCCGACCCAACCCACAACAATATGAAGGGATAAGCACGTGTTAGCGTATTTTAATATAATCCAGTCCAGCCCATTGCCCAGCCCACCACGACTCATCCCGGCACAATATGTTAAAGCCAATTAAGCCCAGCCAGAACCCTATTTATGCACCATTTATTACTCCCTCCGTCCCGTTAAGATTGTTTCATCTTTCTTTTTCAGTTCGTCCCACTAAGATTGTCACATACTAAATTTGGTAAATTTAGTATGATTCTAAATCATTTTTACTTTATTCTTACTTCGTTATCAATTCAATATCAACCACACGACCCCACTTTTCTTAATAATTATGTCACCTTTTCATGTCCCAATAATAATTAGTGGGATGTAGATAGTACTACGTAATTAATTCTACACTAAATAATATCATAGATCTTCTTAGGCAAGGTCTTTGTTGAACCTTAGTACAATTATAACATTAATTTTCTTAAAAGACTTGACACTCATGAACTCTAGAATACAAGCTAGAAAATGCAATATTGGACCCAGAAAGGAAATATCTTGTGCATATTATTACATCTAGATCAGATTGGATAGCTACCGTTGACATGGAAGGGAATGAAGTTCTTGATAATTGTTAGGTGATAAAAACTTATGATAAAGATTTAGAAGTTTATATTAGAAGAATAAGTGTGATATTTGTGCAACTCAATTCCATGTGTACTTGAAAAAACTTTTAGCAAGCTATAGGTAAGTTTGAACTTTTAACTTATTAGTGCAATTTCTGAATTAATGGATTTGTTTTCTCTTGTAAGCCCATTTAGGCCTAGAACTATTAGTGATATGTGGGCCAGCCCGACTCATTCTCTTAAGCAAATCTATATAGACGGGCTAGGACTATAATTTTATTAAAAAGGCTTGATCTGGCCAGGCCCATTCATGAGTTTTTTAAGATAGTGGAAATTACCCGGATGGACAACTTTTGTCCGGCATATTTCATTTATGTCACCAGAATGTTTTCTTTTCAATTATAACTTTTATTTTTTCACGTGAACTTTTTTATTTCAAAAATAGAACATCTCTCCTGGCCGTTTTAAATCTATACATGTGAAATCGTCTCCACTCTCCATAGCCAAATCCAAATCGAGAAGACAAAGCAAAGTGAAATCTCCCCTTCTCACGACGCACATCAACGCCATCATAGTCCATCTTTCTCTCTATTCTATGACATATCCGAGTCCAAGAGATTTCTCTATACTACCACTCCGATTTGCTCCATCGGCAAGTAGCATTCTAGAAATCACCGGCGGCGGCAGCCATGGCGGACTCCAGTCAGCTAAAATCCGACGCTCTTATGGAGCAGATGAAGCTTCACCTCGTCTCTGACGCCGGAAAAGAATTGATCGAGAAAATTGGCCTCGTTTACCAGCTCAATATCGCCGTAAGGTTTTTTCTTGTAATCACTGTGTAATTGTGCCTTTTGTTTGTGTTATTGTTTTGTTTTTTTTATAAAAAGACGGCTCGATTGTGATGTCTGTTGGTTCCACTTTGACAGAAACTTGAATTTATGTTGTTCATCAGAAGAAAGGATTTATGTTGTTCATCAGAAGAAAGGGGAGGTCAGCGAAAGTCAGGGCTTCTGATTTCCTGCTAGATTTAATAGATAATAGAACACTATGAGTGAAAAATAGTTGTCTTTGGATGAATTCAGGGAAGTATGAGGATGGAAGGCCTGATGCAACCTTTTCCTTTACTGATGAGGATTTTCTGAAAATTGCAACAAGGAAGATGAACCCGCAAATTGCTTTTATGAGGTGCGCCTAGTTTTGGTGGTTTGCGTTTTGAACTAATCAGTGTTTCAAGTGTTCAGAAAACATCTTATTGGTACTTTTTGAAGAAAACACATGCTTATAAGAGCACTTGTGAAATAAGTAATCTTGGTAAAAATTTAAGCTTTTTATGAGTTTTTTTTTTGTCAGGGGTGCTATTATAATCAACTGGAGTATCAGTGCAACTCAAAAATTCACTGCAGATATTTTTGCAAAACCATCCAAGCCTGAGAACAAGGAAATGATTAATGGATTGTACCTTAATGATGGATGCCATTTCACAGCCATTCTGCTAAATTTTACTCCCTAGCATCTAGAGTAAATCGTTGCTTGCTAAGTTCTTGAAAACAAAAATAAATAGATTTGAACTTCTCATTCATATCATAAAAGATGACACGGTACTCTGGGGCATTGCATGATTATCTTATACGAAGTATAAACATTTTCATTTCAATTGGTAAAAAAAATAGTAGTTGGCTATTCAGAACATATTATTGGATTAGAAAGTTTACGACTTAGCTTATTGTTGTATAATTTCTAAGGTTCTTTACATCCATTTGTTTCTTTTGGCAGAGAATTGAACTGAAAGTTTGAATGACATTCTTATAAATTCTGCAATGAAAAGCTGGCTCTACTTTCATTGCTTTCCTTGTTTTTATTTTCTTCTATTTCCTGCTATTTGTGTGTATTTATTTTAATGCTTTGTGTTTTATTTTTTGTTTCATTTTGTTGCATCGTATACATTATTTTGTTGCTATCGTGTTGATTATTGTTGCATCTTCTTATTTAATCTAATGCAACATGGTGTTTTTTGTTTATGCAGCTATGTGTTTTCACTGTTATCCTTACTTCTCTCTGCTTCTGCTTCATTGTTTTTATTTGTCTCTCATTTTCTAATATTTGTATATGTTTTTTTTGTTTCTTTTTGTTGCATCGTATGTGTTTCTTTTTGTTGAATCATGTTGTTTATTGTTGCATTGTGTTGTTTATTGTTGCATCATGTTATTTATTATGATTCTTTATAGTTGATTTGGATTTCTGATTTGTATTTAGTTTTGTAATTATCTTTGCTACTTCCTCGAAAAAGTTATTTATTGACTTATACCATCATTTGAAATGATAAATTTGAATTTATAACTAAAAAGTAACTGCAAATCTAAGGAAACAATGAGAAACAAAAATTTCACAGATATAAACAAAAAGAAACACAAACAAACAAACAACATGCATAAAAATAACCATGTACGTTATTTTAATTTTTCAAAAAGTTCAGATATTACACGCTTTTAGTTTTCATTAATTTTCTGATTTGTTATGTATTTATAAATTGTATTTAATATTTTTCTGATATTTTATAAAATTTGATTTTAACTTTTTGAAAATTTTAATGTTATATTTATTAATTTATGATATTTTTTTAAAAAATAATTTTTATAAAGTTTCTATTTATTTTTAATAGTTTGAAATAAAATATCTCATTTACTTTTTTTTGTTCATAACTATGAATTTTTTACATTCTTTTAATATTTTTACTTTTCAATTAATTTTTATTAAATTTTATATTTTGGCATTTTACATTTTTATATAAATCATATTA